AATATAGTAAACCACAAGATAACAAAACAACATCATTTATTATCTTTAGTAAGTCATATCTAACAGTGACCAGCGCTCGGTGCAAGGTCATGGAAACATTATGAGCCTACATCGTAAGCTAGTCTACAAAATTTATAAGCATACCATTCGAATACCAACTGTAACGATCCTGTTTTCCTATTAAAAATAAGGTAGTCATTGCATGCATGACATGTCTATTACATGTAGAAAAATTCATTTAAAAGATATCATAAACGTTAGTAAAAAATTCTTTTAAAACAATAAGGTTATTAGCAAAATAGTGGGAAAATCAATAACATGAATTCAAGTAAAAACAAAAGCAATCTCCCGATCTAACTTAAGGGCTACTAAAGCAGACATGAATGCAACATTCGTAACTCTGGTTCCATGACCTTCATCGTGACGCCATCATCCGTACAGGGGTGTCATACTTTTACCTTAAGAAATAAAAGTCGTACATGACTTCAGTATTTTAGAAAATATTCAATAAGTAACCTCACTATTGGGGTTGACAATGCATACATAAACAAACTTGGTGGGATCTATCCTTTCGTAGAAATATTTTATAGCTTTGAACTTTGCTTTCCAGTCCGGACAAAAATTGGATGTGTAGTACTTTTCTACACACTGCTCAGTACGAGCACATGGTGTCATTAGGCAGGTGCATATGTACCCCTTAGGTTTACCCTTAAGCCAACATACGCTCACAGTGTTGGAGCTGTGGAGAGAATGGAGTCCACATAATATTATGGCGTACATAGATATTATATGTATGCATCCATACTCATCATAACGAGAAAGTATATTGATGCAAGTTAACATACAAAAATGCATGAAGTCTCCATAGCTTTAAATCGTGACATAAATGTATGATGCAGGTCGTACATTCGTTCTTTCATAAACTGTCTTTCATTAATGTGTGTGAGTGTGTGTGTGTCCAAACATAATATAAACATCTCATCAACTAACTTAGAATATAACATGCGACATCTTGATCTTGACACGCTCACGATCAGCCTTGAAGAGAATCCAAGCCTCATCTTCATTTTTCGCTCGTCTTCATGGCTTTATCGGACCTTAGGCGAGAGTTGTCTTCGCCAACCGAATACAACTTATGCGGAATCCAAGTTTGTTCAGCCACACACCGCCTATACGTGCATGTTCAATCTTTTGAGACTCATCCGACTTGCCTCTACACTAGGCCAAGTTATTTAGCTCGACATTGCCTCTACTCGATGCCAAGGTCTCTTGACGCAATGTCGCATCTCAACATCATCTAGGTTCCCAATTAACATGACCCATATGTTTTGACGTCATCCCAATTCGGGGGTGTAGTCGACCATCATAGCTCACTTGGTCATGGCTTCGAGAATGGACCCACGTGTCGTTCATAATGTCGAGACATCCAAAAAGTCTATCCATCTAGTTCTATTGAGGCACTGGGCTCTCCCATGTCCATGCCATATTATCTACAAATTTCGTACTAGATAGCGGATGTATGATCCAACCTATGACACATAGGCTGAGGTGCAATGTTGGCACACTTGTGCCGTTCGACACTCTCCTTGAAAAACTCATTTCAAAGAAAGTTGCTCGAGACACTCGTTTCGCAATGTTTGCTTTCACCATGACACATGTATGTGCCATACTATAGCTTGTTTAGGCCCCAGGCCAAGGAGTGGTAGAGAGATGATATCATGCCTCTCCCTAAGATAAATTCGGGGGCATTTTTGGTTTAGATGATGTAAACATGATTTTGGCTAACGATCATACAGTGTCGTGGAGCGTCCTTTCAAGGTCTGATTAACATAGAATTTGTTGAGTTTTCATATTTCATATGGATGGACTTGACTCCAAAATCGCATGCCCAAATTCCCTTTAGAGTCTAGACTTTCAACGTTAAGACCCGAGACCCTATCCGACCCTTCAACAGTCTATCTTTAACACTCTTATCTACTCGTTACCTCATTCTTGTCTATACCTCATCTTAACTTCAATATACACATTATACAGTGTGTTGGATGATACACCATCCTTCTCTATCGCATCATATCACTCGTCAATCTTGACCCTCGTGTGGTCAAATGGGTATCACTCGAGAGTCGCCGCTTTACCAACACGAGGGTCACAACCTACTCTTTTCACAATATGATTGTGACATTCACTAATTTAGTAGATTTCTTTTCTCGAAAACATTAATAAAATGGGCGTATAGAACGTCGAAACTTAGTTACATAATAAAATAATAGAAGACAAAAACACAATATAAAAAGGCACTTGAAAAGAGCGGCACCGCCATCCACGACACGACCAAATATACAAAGGAAAAGGTGTGTGTTTGCGCATGAAAGACCCAATTTCAAGGAGGAAAAAAACACACATTGTTCCTTAATGCTTCCAATCATGTTTCTTAAACAATGCTAATACCTCCAAACCCACCTCTCTTTTTAACTAACTTCTAAAAATTAGGTCTTTTTTGTCCCCTTCTATTCAATAATATATTACCGTTTGAAAACTTCGATAATCCAAATAATCTGATCAATCTAACGCAATTGTATAGATCGAATCCACGTAAATGAAATTTTATGGATTCAATTGATTCATGTGTTCTCCGAAAACTAGATATGCATCTTTTTTTTAATCTCGGGAGAAATACGATTGAGGGAGGAAGGCTAATTCAAACCCTCCGAGTAAAATAAGAACAGTCCCCACATTCAAACCGCCCCTTTTCCTATTTGCAAGAACTTGTTTCAGTTGCATATCATAACGAATTGGAACAACTGCTTCAAATACAGTATCAAGAAGTACTGATTGTGAAACCTCGATATCCACGGGTTGAATCGAAGTTCGAATTCATTGTTAATTTTTAAATATATATTTTCGTTTACCATACAATTATATATGCTCTTTTAAATTTATAATTATTTTTTGATTATTTATTCCTCAATTTAATTAAATGTTTGGAAATAAATAAATAAATAAATGTTGTATGAACTAATATTTTATTTTTATTAAAAATAAAATTTTGAATAAATAACCCAAATAACCTGAATCAACCGAACCCAACAAATTTATGGTTCCATTGAGTTGAGTTCATTGTTTAATAAAAAAAATATTTATGTTGAAAAAATTATTGCCCGAATAATTGGATTGAATCTACAAAAAAATTCCAACCCACAAATACCCATATATCTTATGAACATGATAGGAACTGAATTAGAGCGTGACTCAATAAATAAGATTTCAAGCAATTATTAAATTTAAAAATTTATGATTTTTTTCGAGACAGAAATATTAATTTAACGGCTGAGTTGTGCTCAAATTGATTATTTATTTAATTTTAGTGTTACCAAACCAATTAATTTTAATCAATTTGTCATTAATTTTTTAATAATTTATTTTTCGGGTTGTCGGGTTGTCAGGTTGAATGTACACTCCTGCCTCCCGATATTTGAATTTTTTTTTTCCATTAAAAAAAATCTCATTATTAAATTTCTATAACTAAAGCTTTTAAAAAACAATGATATATATAAATTGATTTAATTTTTTTTTTAAATAAAAAAAATTAATTTTTGAATAATTTAGGGAAGATTATTTAATAAAACATAAAGTAGAAGTGACTAATTCTTGATTAATTTATTTGATTAGCATGACAGATTCAAAGCTATATATCTTAAATAAAATAATAGAGAGTTGGGAGAGCAATTTGAAATATAAATATATAAATATTAAAATATTAAAATATTTTAAATTAATGACCAAATATCTAATTCTAATTATAATTATTGCAAAGGGATGTTCCAAGAACCCAACGAATTTAATTAATTTAAGAAAGGGCTAAAAAAAATTGAGAATTAGTTTATTCATTAAAAAATATATTTTTTCAAATAAAATAAGGATAATTAAGCTTTGAAAATTAGTATTAATTTTATTTGATATTTTATAAAAATTATTTAGATATAAGATTAAATAAAATAATTTCGTGTGATTAATTTTACCTTTAGATATGAAATTTTATTTATTTTAAAGATGGAAGGTTTTTTTTAGTTAATTACCCATATAAGTTGTTAGATGAACACGACTCTCCGTAATAGTATGATATTGTTCACTTTGAGTATAAGCTCTAGTGGGTTTGCTTTGGGTTTCTACAATGATATGATATTGTCCAAATATATCTCTATCAAATCTTTATCAAATATCTACCATATATATCTCTATCAGATCTTTACGAAAAAATATCTTTTAAATATATCTCTACCAGATCTACACGCTCCATATCCAACATAAATGTCATCCATCAAGAGAGGAATAACTAAGCTATATTACAACAAGAGGTCATTTATTGAGATCGGATCATCATCCATCTTTTGAGTATTTTTCATTTGCTCATTTTTAATGATACTTATGATCGGATTAGTACCTTTACAAAATGGTTTGCAAACTTGGTGTCTCAAGCTTGTTTTCTTCTTTTCGAGTGGAATAACTCATTAAAATGGTTTGCAAACTTGGTGTCTCAAGCTTGTTTTCTTCTTTTCGAGTGGAATAACTCATTAAAATGGTTTGCAAACTTGGTGTCTCAAGCTTGTTTTCTTCTTTTCGAGTGGAATAACTCATTGTGGAGGGTGCAGTATGTGCCGAGGGCGTTAATCTCAACATTCAACTTAAACCCTTCTTTTTATTTTTTATTTTTTTTAGTGTTGGAACACAATAGCAAGCCGTCTCCATAGTCACCACTTGTCTAATGAGCAGGCACTTAAACTTGAAACTGATGAAATTCAAAAGAAAGATGGAACCGACCACTATGCTAGGAGGCGAGAACTACAATGTCTTAGGATCTTGAGTCCTTTCCTCTCCTCGAGTATTTTCAACAGGATCCCGAAACCACCACTATCTAAAGTTATAATATTGGAAGAGAAAAATTAGGAAAATATTAATCAAAATCAACCTATGAAATTAGATTGTGATACAATGGCCATTTGTTAGCTATTGATGAATCAAACTATATTGATATTCCTAACTAAAAACAGTAACAGTACGGTCATTACATTCTTCATAGAAGAAACAAAACATCTTAATTAAATAGCATGAAAACAAAGGAACCAAAATTTAGGTCGTCAGTGAGTGTTTGTCAGCCTACTTCTGCAAAATTTAGGTCGTCAGTGCTTCGTCCTGTTTCCATGAAAATTGCAAATAATTCTACGGTAATCAAATAGGCGAATCATAGAATCATCAATTTGTTGAGCAGTGTCGGAAAGGAGTCTCACATAGATTAATTTAGAGAATGATCATGGCTTTATATTACAAGCAAGAAATAGTATCTCCATTGACACGAGGCCCATGAGAGCTTATGCTCAAAGTAGACAATATCATATCGTTGTGAAGAGTCATGATTCCTAACACGGTAATTTAAAATGGTCTGTCCTAATAAAATATGAAATTATGATAAAATATGGAATTAAAAGAGAAATATTTAACGATCTCCAGTCCAATTCCTGATAGTTCTAGTCCTAATACACAACACTGATCAAGAAAAACAATCCTTAGATTGTGATTGTATTAAAAAAAAAAAAAAAGCTTGGTCTTGAATTTTAGTCAAACTCTGAAAACAAAAACAAGTTCTTGAAAACTGTTTTTTCGGTTCTCAAAACTTTGCATGATTTTTGAAAAGTAGATAGATAACAAAAACAAATTGTTGAAAACTGTTTTTTCAATTTTCAAAACAAACGAAAACAAACGAAAACAAGTTCTTGAAAACTGTTTTTTCGGTTTCAAAAACTTTACATGGTTTTTGAAAACATTGATAGAAAGTAGATAACAAATACAAGTTCTTGGAAACTGTTTTTTTTTAGTTTTTAAAACTTTGCATGATTTTAAAAATGAATAGAAAGTAGATATCAAAACGTAATAAGCTTAATTTTCAAAAATCAAAAATTAAAATCCAAAAGCCAAAAATCAAATGGTTATCAAACGAGCCCAACAGTGCACCAATAACAATAATATTATGCTACCAACCTACGTATCTTCAAAGCCCAAAACAATAAAACAATAATATCATGCAACAACCCAAATCTCTCCACTTGTGAGATCCCATATTGATTGGGGAAGAGAACGAAACCTCTCCCTAGCAGATGTGTTTTAAAAATTTTGAGGGAAAATCCAAAAGAGAAAGCCCAAAAAAAATAATATCTACTAGCAAGGGGCTTCCGTCGTTACACTCCCCTAGCACTACACCACTAGCAACCCACCACTAGCAACCCACATAGGATCCCAAGAACTTTATAAACGTGGGCAGTTTGATGTTTACTTAAATAAAAATGCTTAAAATTGTATGAAGAAAGCAAGAGTATTAGACCTTATTCAGCGTTTTCGTTCTGCCCGCCATTTGTATACAGGATTAGAAGTTGGATTGGAGAGTTCATCTTCTTGGCGTTTACGTTTGCGGCCCATTTTCTGTTATAAGCACGTATCGTCTCAGAATCAACAATTTTAATATATACAACCTATCTATCAAACTGGAGCAGAAAACTTAAACATGTTAAAAAGTACCCTTAGTTCTTGTTGAAATCTCATATCCCTATAAAGTTTCTCTAATTCCCAGACTCTACTCCTCCTTGCCTCCAATTCTTTGTAAGAAGCAGCGGTTTTCCTGTGAAGAAAGTACAGATCAGGCCCAATTTAAAGTATTGGAAATGAGCACCGGTTTTTATTTTGATGAACTTCCAGACTTCGCATTGAGAGTAAATGAAACAATACAAAGTGCATACCAGAAAATCAACCCAAACAAAAGGCAAACCAAAACAAAAACAGGGCTCCAATAGAGACATGGAACTTAGCAAGGGTACACTAACTCCCACAAACCACGAAAACCAACCGTTCTCACGTAAGAGCGGATGAGAAAGAAACTCCTCGACTATCAAACAAACAACTATTGACTGAGCTACCTGAAAGACCAAATTCCTCGAAGGAGCAATCTCAAATCAAAATGACAAAAATACAACTCGCACAAAAGAATAAACTTCAAACAAAAGATGAAGACTAAATTTTGACATTGTACCTAGGACTACCTTTACAAATGTCAATTTGTACCTAGGACCTATGACATTTGTACCTAGGACTACCTTTACTTTACAAATGTCAATTTGTACCTAGGACCTATGACATTTGTACCTAGCACTAAAAAATTTATATCACAAATTTTAGAGGTAGCCCTAGCTATATCTTAGTGTAAATTGTCTAATATTTTTAGTTCCTATAGTTATACCTCCCTCATTGGAAGGACTTTTGTAAACACCATGGATACTACATCCTTTTGTAAATTTCAACCATCAATGAAATCGTCTTTTATTAAAAAAAAAAAAAAAAAAAAAAATTGACATTTGAAAGTTGCAAGAACTAAAATTGAACAAGTCTCAAAATACAGAAATCAAAATCATAAGTAAACATGAAAAGATTACATGCAACAGTTGGTGTCCTCATTAAGAATGTTACCTCTTAATACTGTTAGGAACTGTTTCAGACAATGCTGTCCATCTACCTTTGGAGGAACGACATTGAATTTCATTGGTCTCCTCCCTGCAATTAATCAACAATGACTAGCATAAATAACTTCACCTCATTAGAATTAGCAAAAAGCAATGAGTCATGGTTCACCAAAACTTGCTGCAAATAAGGTTTAGTGTATTTTAATAAAGATGGCACAAGTCAACCATCATGGGTTAGCCTAGTGACCATAAGAGCCATGAGAATAATAAAAGCTTAGTGGGAATGAGTTCAATCAATGTGATTAGATACCTAGAATTTAGTATCCTACGAGTTTCGTTGGCAATCAAATGTAGTAAGGTTATATTGATAAAATATCTCATAACAAAAAATCTATGGTACGTTCCCGACGCTCTTGTTTGAAACAAAAGAAAAGTAATAATAGGTGGTTGTTGTGGGGTTTCATCCCTTTAATGCAGAACAACAATTATTTGATTCGTTTCCAATTAGGAATGTAGAAAAAGATTCAAACCTGTCTTCAGCAAAGTAAAGATGCTCATTTGATGGCTGATTATCAAAAGAATGTAACGTGGCTGTCAGTTTTTCAATTTTCTACACAGAAGAGTGAGAATTGATAGATTAGTTAAACTAAATCAATGTGTTCCTCAATGAACTCCTGGTCAATTAAAAAAAATGAAAGCTCGCAAAGAACACACCCTTTCCTCACTCTGCATTTTCTGAAGTATATACTCTGCATCTTGGGTTTTCATCAGTATGAGTTGCTCTTTAGTATACTTATTTACCCGTCTCCTACATTATATAAAGATTAAGATGCATAAGAAACTAGAAGAAACCAGAATTACTGATAATCAATAGATATTAAGAATGATCTAAAATGATTACTCTGGTTTATGGACTGTTCTGGCCTTAATCATCTTAAAGTAAAATTCATCTCGATTCCTGAAGGCTGATTTCTCTTCAAGTTTCTGAAAATCAAACAGCACAAAAAATACAAACAACCAAATTGAGGACTTCTCAGAGTTCAATAAACAGCAGAAAAATTGTGTTAACATTAAAAACAGAGTGATAATGGGCCTTCCAAACTTTACCTCTAAAGTGGCTTCCTTCTTATGATAAGCTTTAGCACGCTTGACATAGTCTCTGTGTTTCTCAAAAAGCCCAAAATGTCTCCGAGAATGCCTGATCCATTACATAAACCCATTATCCACAAAGAGTCAGATATCATAATTTGAATGGAAAAGAACCCCATTGCATCACAAAAAGCCTTTATCACTTACGGCCGAGCTCGCTTCCTGTATAGCCGCGAACGGATGGCATTCTTCAGTGACCGCATTGCACTCAACAAGAGAGCGGAAGAACGTGCAATTACAAGCAAATAATGTTCTCGGTGTCTTAGTTTTCCTACAACTAAACGTATAGCAAATCGAACGAATCCTACACAAGATAGATGGTTTACAGGGATGGATTCCAAATCAGAATATTTAGACAATTCGGAATGCCGTCGAGGAGCAGAACCACTGTAGATATCGGTGGAAGAAGTCGCCAAGTCGGCTATAGCTAAAGAAGAATCCGCCGGAAGATGTCCTCGTGCAGTTCACAAATCTGCTCAGTCGAGCCTCGCCGCACCATTTCTTGAAGGAGCCATCGCCGCCGCACGTCTCGGGTGTTTGCGGTTGGTGCTAGCGCCGGAAGAGAATGGGTGAACGGAGTGGCCGGATCGCTCCGTTCGATAGATGGTTATGCCGTCGAGGTCGGCGCCGGAGTTGATAAGGCTGGGGGTGGGATGTGAGACGCAGAAAGTGGGTTTAGGGTTTCCGATGAAGAATGGAGATGACCTCATACTTCTAAACGCTGACCTCATAGATCGTTTAGGGTTTAGGTTTTTCCCAATCTTTCCTAAAGTGTTAATTTTTAAGGATTTCCTTTTTTAAAAAATATGATTTTTTTTTAAAAAAAATAATAATTTAAATAATGTAATAAAAAAAAAAACAAATTTGAGAATTAGGTTAGAATTACAAACCATTAATATATTTCGAGTAGATTTTATCAGCAACTCGGGTACTCGGGTACGTATACGAGATTTAAAGATATTCACATGGCTAATGATATATCTCAAATAGGAGTGTCCACGAGGCGATTGGATCAGGTTGAGACATTTTTTAGACCTAACACAAACAATCTTTATTAAACGAGGGGATGTTTGGCCCCTAAAATCAAAACTCAAGCGGAGTCTGTTGAGGGTTTTAAACCCGTGAATAAGAAAATTGTGTTTGGAGTAGACTGTCATTCCTACCTCATAGCATTCATGTCTTAATATTTCCAAACAATGCATATTATAAGCAAGAGCACGTTCGATCTAGGACATTCTAATAGTAAAGTTACTTTAAAGTGGTTCAAAACCATTAGATAGAAAAGGCTACGTGGTAACGGGAGGACTAAACGATAGAGAAGTAGCTCACGTTGAGGATGAAAATTCTTTTTAGATGTGTATGTTGTAATTACCGGCCGAGATCTTTGCACTACCCAACTACTCATTCGGCCCTCATTTGCTCGATCCAAGCCATTTCCCGAGTGTTTGACAAGACCTCGGTTCCCCCAAGCCGCCCATGCGGTGTGTCACGATCATACTTGTCCAAGGCGTGTTGTTCATGTTCGTATGCCCGTTACACACTGAAACCCTTTGCCTTGTACTACTTTACCGCTTTCTTTTACTGCTTTCATGTTGTATTATTTCTTTCTTGTTTTCTATAAGAGTATGACGTTTCGGCGAAATCATGGCTACGCCTGGTAGACATCAAATGCCTCAAAATGTACTATAGGGAGATGCGACTAGTTGTCAAATTCTCTTTACCCGAAAAGTTATATACTGTTTAAGTCGTTGTTGTTGCCTCTTTGCTTGCATGCTATATAACACCACTCTCAATCTCTCTCACATTCTTGCTTTCAAAACTCTCTTTACAAAACCTCTCTCCCTCACTTTCTAAATTCTTCTCTTTAAATCGAGGCCCGAGGTTTGAATACACATTGCCCGATCGTAGGCAACGTGATCCGAAGTTGGCTTGACTCACTCAGTGCTGGGAGCGAGTGTCGTACAATCGTCAAATCCGCTACTAAGAAACGACGATCGTGACATGGTGCCTCCAGCCACCTCCCGTGCACACGTGTCTCTCAAGCCAACACCCTCCAACTTAGCTTTGCTTGATGTTCTTGATTTTTTTACCCATTTTGGACCTATTCATATTTGTTTTTGACGTAATTAAGGGCAATTAAAGGCTACTATGATGCCATTATAAACAAAATTAGGTGACGATTAGCTAAGAAAAGTTTACGGTAATGCCTTCGGGCAACATTGTAAGTGGACTTACGGTCGAAACCCCTACCGACTAGGTAGAATGAAACATGAATATGCGTAATCGTGGCCCTCTATATTTGCTGATTATGTTTGTCATATTGTTATGATTAGTTTTTTCCTTGTGAGGTACTATTGTTAGGAATCACGCTCCACAATAGTATGATATTCCTTCCTTATAAACCCACGATCATCTCCTTAATTAGCCAACCTGAGGCTTCCTCCTAACAATCCTCAATAATCTTTCCCACGAACAAAGTACATCATAAAGCCTCTCCTGAGGTCTATGAAACCCCCGAATAGCCTCCCCTTAATCGAGGCTCGACTCCTCTAGAGCCCTCGAATAAAGTACACCCATTTGTTTGATACTTGAGTCACTTTTGATTACACCTTTGAGGCTTACAACTTCTTTGTTCGACACTTGAGGATTCTATTGACATGACTTAGTTAAGAGCATGACTCTGATACCATGTTATTGTAGAACACAACTCTATGTGGGAAATAGTCGCACTGTTTAGTAAGACCAATCGAGAAGAGATTATAAGACAATGATTACCACAAATACGTAAGCACATCTTGTAGGGGATCCATGTCACGATAAGTATGGAAGTACGATGTGCATTATTACACTAAACCATGATTTTAAATGGGGGATCTCATGCAGGTTGATCGTCACACAAGCATGGATTACGTCTCCAATATATTACTTACGGAGGAGTAAACTACGATATTATTAGCGCTCCTTTTTTTTTTTTCCATTGGTTTTCGACAGTGTGAGTGTGTGCTAGCCTATAGTCAGACCTAATGGCTACATATATATGAGCCCACCTAATAGGTTTATGTGTACGTGTATAGTAAAGTACTATGCATCTAACCGCATCTAGAAATAAAGTAGAGCCTAAGGAACAATCATGAGAACCTTGGTCCTTGGATCCCGAGGTCTCAACCTTGGTTCTGATTTAAAGGCCTTAATACTAAGGTTCTTGATCCATGTTCTATTTCTTAATTGACGTTTCGTTCTTGGTTGCCATTAGGAGCTTGCACTCCTTGTGTTTCCGTAATGGCTTGTACATCTGGCTAGCTTGTGTTTCTAGAGTTGTCCTCATGAAGGACTGGAGGGTCTCCAAGGTGAACGTGACGGTGGAGTTTGACTTGGGTTAGAATCTTGTTGTGTTTTTGTTTTTGTATTCTGGGTCCGAGCCATTCCTACTTTAGGGGTTCTTTTGTGAAATTCTAAGAAGCTAACCTTTGGCTTCCTCGTCTAGCTAGGGTTCTTCTCTTGGGGGACATGATCCCAGCCCTGAAATAATACTTAGGGTTACTCACTTATCCTTGGTGTTCTCTAGGTTGTCTTAAATCTTATCTTAAATATTAACCCTATGATCATGCACTTAATAACGTAAAGATTTAGGCATACGTAAACTTAGAGTCTTAAGGTGATACTTATCTAGTCTCAACCGAGCGTCCCCTTGAGTTGGGTCGTAGAGAAACATTGGGTTCTGATATTTAAGCTACCTCCAATGCCTCTAAAAAGCTTTGATATGGTCCATTTTGAACATAAGGTATCATGACTTTGCTTTGGGTTTCCCCGAAAAGCTTCATATTAATAAAGATAATATTATTTGATTATACCCATGATCATTCGCGCGGGATGGACCTTCATCATCCAACAAAAACTACTGATAAATATTTTTTAAATCTTTTTTAAAGCTTAAAAATATTATTAAAATTTTTAAAAATTAAGAATATTTTTTTTAGACAAATTACTATTTATATTAATTTAAGGGAAAAAAATATTATTGATTATTACTTTCTTTTTCCTCCTATCTTGTTTGAAGTTCGCATTTGGCCGTCAATGTTCCCGGCAAAATTCGGGATGGTATTTTCCTAGAGAATCTATTCAATTATATTTGGGAAAATGGCGAATCTTAGCTCCGAAACTGAAGTATTTCACAACTGGATTTGAAATTCTCGATGAGCGGAAGAAAAAATGGCTTGAATTCTTCCGTCTTTTACTCGTTTTCTGGATTTTGATAGTGCAACAGGTTGCGAGGCTGATTAGGGCAGTGATTTTGAAGCTTCAATGTTGAAGGCTGTGTTTCAAGGATGATGGAAGGAAGAGGTTGAACCTAGACAAATAAGGTAAATATGCAATTCCACACAGTTTTGAGATCAGAGAAACAAATTGATCCAGTTTTTAGGTCAATTTTCTATCGTACCTTTTATTGTAGTTTATTGTTTGTTCTTGTGTTGCATGATATCTGCGTCAGTTTTGGATCCCCAAATGATAAGAGTTCTGTGTAATTACTTACCTCAAATTCACCAGCTTCGTTCGTCAATACCTCTCATTTTATTCATACCCAGAAATTTCTATCTATTTGTTCAATCACCAGTAACTCTGAGATGTCGAAATAAGTGTACCACCATAAATTCTTCCATTAATTGCTGTGGCATTGCGCAAACTCTCATATCAAGGTGTTCTGTTTTGCTTGAGAAGGAAGAGAATGGCTCTGTATTGCCTAATTCTTGTCTCAAGGACTTTTTATTGGAAATATCTGATGTTGTACCGGAACATGTGCGTAGAATTAGGCGAGTTTCGGAGTTAAAGCCTGAAGATGTGCTTAAATTGTTTCTTGGGTTTCAATCAGAGGTTGGGGATAATGGAATTCAAGTTAAGAAAGTTGAGTGTTTATGGAGAATTTTGAAGTTTGTTAATGAAAGTAATGGGAGCTTCAAGCAATTACCGAGGTTGTACGAGGTTATGGCCTCGCTACTCGTTCAAGTTGGGAAGTATAAGGAAGTCGAGCAGTTTCTTTCTGAGATGGAGATTCAAGGAATCTTACTGGATAATCCTGAAGTTTTTAGTTGTATAATTCAAGGTTTTGTTTGTGAAGGTAATCTTGAAAAGGCTATTTTGATATACGAAAAAGCGAGGCAGCGATGTATTTCTCCGTCTTTGTCATGTTATCGTGTTCTACTAGATTCTTTGGTTCGTATTAAGAAAACACAAGTAGCACTTGGAGTATGTACGGATATGGTGGAGATGGGATTTGATTTGGGGGATGACGAGAAGGCTGCTTTTGAGAATGTCGTTGGACTACTTTGTTGGCAGGGAAAGGTTCTTGAAGCTAGGAACCTTGTGAAGAAGTTCGTGGCTTCAGATTTTAGGCCTAGTGATGAGGTTCTTTATCGAATTACGAGGGGTTACTGTGAGAAGAAGGACTTTGAAGATTTGCTGAGTTTCTTCTTTGAAATTAAGAGTCCCCCAAATGTTTTTTCTGGCAACAAAATCATTCATTCTCTCTGTAAAAATTTTGGGTCCGAAAGTGCGTGCCTGTATCTACGAGAACTTGAGTGTACAGGTTTCAAGCCTGATGAAATAACCTTTGGGATTTTGATAAGTTGGAGCTGTCGTGAGGGAAATCTTCGAAGCGCTTTTATTTATATGTCGGAGTTATTGTTTAGTGGCCTAAAACCAGATTTACATTCATATAATGCTCTCATCAGCGCGATGTTGAAGGAGGGCCTCTGGGAGAATGGCCAAGGTATTCTTGCTGAAATGGTAGAGCGGGGAACCGAACCTAATTTATCGACTTTCAGAATTCTTTTAGCAGGCTATTGCAAAGCTAGACAATTTGAAGAAGCAAAGAAAATAGTTCTTGAAATGGAAAGATGTGGTTTTATTCAACTGTCTCCAGTGGATGATCTATTGTGCAAAATATTCTCTTTCTTGGGGTTTAATGATTCAGCAATTAGGTTGAAAAGAGACAACAATGTTGGTGTTTCTAAAACCGAGTTCTTCGATACCCTTGGAAACGGACTTTATTTGGACACTGACGTGGATGAATATGAGAAAACGCTTACCGAAGTTCTCGAAAAGTCAATATTACCGGATTTTAATTTGTTTATTGTCAAGGAGTGCAAAAACAGAGATCTTAAAGCTGTATTAAGGTTGACAGCTGAAATGGATCGATGGGGTCAAGAACTAACTTCAGTAGGTTTGATGGGTTTATTGAAAAGCCATTGTAAATCGAATTCGAGAATCAAGCCTATCATTGATGTTTGGAAGAGAAGACCAGATATGATTGCTCAGTTAGAAGCAGACACCTTAAATTTACTTGTGCAAGCGTATAGCAAAAATAGGTTGACTTCTTGTGGAATCGGAACACTAAACGAAATGATCCGAATGGATGTTAGAATAGAGAAAGAAACATACAGCGCTCTGATAAATAGTTTGTGCAAAATAGGAAACTTAAGTGACCTTGTTGGTTGTTGGGATAGAGCTCGAAAAGATGGTTGGGTTCCGGGATTGCTCGACTTTAAATCACTTATCAGTTGTCTTTGCAAGAAAGGAGAACTCAAACAAGTTGTCGTCCTCCTCGAAACCATGTTGGTGTCTTATCCACATTCGAGGTTGGACATACTTAATATATTCCTTGAAAGGCTTTCAGAAGCCGGGTTCCCTGCAATTGGACGGGTATTGGCTAAGGAGCTTACGTCCCTCGGATTTTCTTTGGATCAAAAGGCATACGAACTTCTTATTATAGGATTATGTAAGGAGAATACTGTTTCAATAGCAATTAACATGTTAGACGATATGATGGCTATGAGTATGGTTCCGTGCATTGATGTTTGTCTTCTATTAATTCCTACTTTATGTAAGATTGGTAGATATGAAACTGCTATTGCATTAAAAGAGATCGGAACTACCAAGCTATCGTCTTCTTCACGTAGGGTGTACGGTGCACTAATGAAAGGTTTCTTTACGACGGGAAAGGTTAGAGAAGCCTTGGCACTACTCGAGGACATGTTGTCTAAAGGTCTTTCTCTAGATGCTGAGATATATAATCTTCTGATTCAAGGACATTGCAAAGCGAAAAACTTCGAAAAAGTGCGGGAGCTACTGGGCGTTATGTTAAGGAAGGACTTAAGCCTTTCGATATCAAGTTACGGGAAATTAGTTCGTTTAATGTGTAGGGAAGGAAGAAGTCTCCAGGCATTGCATCTAAAGGACATCATGCTTAGAAACAGCAAATCTCATGATTCTGTTATCTATAACATTCTGATCTTTTATATTTTTCGAAGTGGAAACTGTTTTCTTGTGGGAAAAATTTTGGATGAACTATTACCTGATAATGTAACCTATAATTTTCTAGTATATAGATTTTCTCAGTGCAAGGACTTCTCAAGTTCCACATATTATCTCTTTACCATGATCCGACGAGAGTTTCGGCCCAGCAATCGGAGCTTGAATGCTGTAATAAGCCACCTTTGTGATACCGGACAGCTCGAGAAAGCGTTAGAGGTGAGCCGGGAGATGGAATTTAGGGGATGGATTCATAATTCAGCTGTACAGAATGCAATAGTTGAGTGTTTCATTTCATATGGAAAGCTTCAAGAAGCAGAATGTTTTTTGAATAGAATGGTTGAGAAGAGTCTCATCCCGAAACATGTGGATTACAATAACATTATCAAGCAATTTTGTCAGAGTGGAAGATGGTTGAAGGCAATGGATTTAATAAACATAATGCTTAAGCAAGGAAACATACCAAATGCTTCAAGTTATGATTTTGTCATTCAATGTTGTTGTAATTACAAGAAGTTGGAAGAAGCGTTAGATTTACATACCGAGATGTTGGATCGATGCCTAAAGCCGAGCATCACGACGTGTGATAAACTTGTGTCTTCGTTATGCAGAGAAGGGCAGATGAAAGAAGCCGAAAGGGTTTTGATGAGCATCTTAGAGATGGGTGAAATACCGAGCAAGGATGCGTACTGCTCCATGCTTAACAGGTACCGCTATGAGAATGATCTTGAAAAGGCATCTGAGACGATGCGAGCGATGCAGCAAAGTGGTTATGAGTTGGATTTTGAAACACAATGGTCTCTCATAAGCAAACTAAGCGATACCAGTCTCGAGAACAACAACAACAACAATAACAGTAACAAAGGGTTTCTCTCAGGACTTCTTTCTAAGAGTGGATTTTCTCGGGCATCGATTCCTTAGCAATGCCGAGACAGAGATTGCGAAGGTCATCATTCTTTGTTTTTGTCCGGGGCATGATTTGGGACCTGGACGATGAAACTAAATGTGAGCGCGACTCTCCCAACTCGGCTTCGCTTGAAGTAGACCGACGATCAGATCCCTGTCGTTTGCTCGAGAGATTTGATTTACCTTATTGGAGTACAAGATGTTGTAGGGACAAGTAGTTGTTATGTGAGAATTGTGAGCTGCACATAATTTATACCGCACAGTTTGTAGCCATCCAAGCAGCCTTTTCCATCATAAAGTGGAAAAGGATAGAGCTTCAAGAAGGATATCTGATGTTTTCTCCCCTGGATATGAACATGGTTTCTGGTGGGTTGTGTGCAACTTGTACGTATCCGAGAAGAAAAATCGTTTCTGATTGCATCTTCTACAAGTATGTTTCATCCAGCCCTATCAACAAGCTTTTCTTTTATTGTTGTATGTATAATAGTAATTAATTTGGTGTCACGGATGTATGGCAGGTTGTGGGTGTAACGGCACAAGTCCTCCGCTAGCAAATATTGTTTTCTTTGGGCTTTCTCTTTCGGGGTTCTCCTCAAGGTTTTTAAAACTCGTCTGCTAGGGAGATGTTTCTATACCCTTATAAAGAATGTTTCGTTCTCTTCCCTAACCGATGTGGGATCTTACAATTCATCTCCCTTTAGGGCCTAGCGTTCTCGTTTGCAATCATTCTCTTCTTCAATCGATGTGGGACCCTCCCTTGCTGGCACACCACCTCGTGTCCACTCCCTTCTGGGCTCAATGTCCTTGCTAGCACACCACCTCGTGTCCACCTTCTTCTGGGCTCAACGTCCTTACTGGCACACCACCTCATGTCCAATCTCCTTTCGGGATCAGCCTCCTCGCTGGTACATCGTCCTGTGTTTGGCTCTGATACCATTTGTAACGGCTCAAGCCCACTATTAGCAGATATTGTTCTTATTAGGCTTTCGCTTTCGGGATTCCCCTCAAGGTTTTTAAAACGCGTTTGTTAGAGAGCAATTTCCACACCTTGATAAATAATGCTTTGTTCTCCTCCCGAACCAGATAGGGGATCTCATGATGGCAATGGTTTTAAGAGGTGAAGCAGCGGAAATGTTTTATTACGAGGCGAAGTGCATAAACCCACTATCAGCGGAAATGCTCTGATACCATTTGTAACGGCTCAAGCCCACTATTAGCAGATATTGTTCTTATTAGGCTTTCGCTTTCGGGATTCCCCTCAAGGTTTTTAAAACGCGTTTGTTAGAGAGCAATTTCCACACCTTGATAAATAATGCTTTGTTCTCCTCCCGAACCAGATAGGGGATCTCATGATGGCAATGGTTTTAAGAGGTGAAGCAGCGGAAATGTTTTATTACGAGGCGAAGTGCATAAACCCACTATCAGCGGAAATGCTCTGATACCATTTGTAACGGCTCAAGCCCACTATTAGCAGATATTGTTCTTATTAGGCTTTCGCTTTCGGGATTCCCCTCAAGGTTTTTAAAACGCGTTTGTTAGAGAGCAATTTCCACACCTTGATAAATAATGCTTTGTTCTCCTCCCGAACCAGATAGGGGATCTCATGATGGCAATGGTTTTAAGAGGTGAAGCAGCGGAAATGTTTTATTACGAGGCGAAGTGCATAAACCCACTATCAGCGGAAATGCTCTGATACCATTTGTAACGGCTCAAGCCCACTATTAGCAGATATTGTTCTTATTAGGCTTTCGCTTTCGGGATTCCCCTCAAGGTTTTTAAAACGCGTTTGTTAGAGAGCAATTTCCACACCTTGATAAATAATGCTTTGTTCTCCTCCCGAACCAGATAGGGGATCTCATGATGGCAATGGTTTTAAGAGGTGAAGCAGCGGAAATGTTTTATTACGAGGCGAAGTGCATAAACCCACTATCAGCGGAAATGCTCTGATACCATTTGTAACGGCTCAAGCCCACTATTAGCAGATATTGTTCTTATTAGGCTTTCGCTTTCGGGATTCCCCTCAAGGTTTTTAAAACGCGTTTGTTAGAGAGCAATTTCCACACCTTGATAAATAATGCTTTGTTCTCCTCCCGAACCAGATAGGGGATCTCATGATGGCAATGGTTTTAAGAGGTGAAGCAGCGGAAATGTTTTATTACGAGGCGAAGTGCATAAACCCATTTGGCCAAAACTCTAATACAGGTTTCATCTTACCATTCTTACAGCATACATTCTTAACACTTTTGCCAGTCACATATCAGCCTTTGATTTACTCTTGCCATTAAGGTTGTTTGCAAACTTCTTTGAATGCTGTTTAAATTTTGGTGCATTGGAGAAAAATAAAGCAAACAAACAATGATAGACAGCAAACTTTGGGGCTTTCATTGACAAAAAAAAAAACAGGGACAGTTTTGTTGTCTTCTTGTTCAAAGAAGTAAACAGTCGAAGAATCCTGTTATGGAACGAACACAAGCCTCGCAAAAGAGGATAATGTTCTCAGACAATTACACGAAACTCGGTTTTCGTTCAACTTTAATTGTTCTTGGGTTTATATAGCCGAGGTGTATAAACAACCTATTTAAATTTGAAAAACCGACCTATTTCAATAAGAAACAACCTATTTATTATTCTTTTAAAAAGATAGTCATTTAAAGAAACATTTTAACATATAATTTCGTTATGTTATAAAAATTTGAATTAATCATCTAATAACATGATTTTCAAATCTAAGAACACACGAAATTATTAGATTTTCAAATCTAAGAACACACGAAATAGTGATGGTTTTTTATTAATAAATTAATAATTGAATCGACCATAATACCTATAAATATGACAAAAACAAAACAACCCAAATGACAAGGACAATCAATGGAAGAGATATATAAATATTGAAACTTGAAAGAGGAATTTAGGTCCTTTCTCTTTGAAAATATATCTATATTGAGTAAGACAGAGAGAGGGCGAAACGAAGAGAAATCTCTCCCAATTTCTACCTCATTTTCTATCTAAATGAGAACCTTTGCTCCGCAGGCTAAATAGACATCACTTAGTGCTTCGTGGGATTAAAAAAAACCTTAAATTAACCCCGAAACCAAGAATATTAGAAAATAAACTAAAAACTTGGAGGCATTTCATCTCCCATTTGTTATCTTGTCAAAGCAAATAATTTTCTTAATATATAACTTAGATTCTTGTTCTACGGTGCTCTAATGATTGAACACTCTTTTTATTGAAGCACGTAGAGTAACCAATTACATCGTTCACTATAATAACAATTATAAGGATAATTATAAGTGGATATGAGCTGCAACTTAGTCAAGTACAAGGATCTTCACCGTCAACGTCAAGACTAAAAAGTTTTCTATTTATAATCATTTACGAAATAAAATAAATTACAAAGAAAATGAAAAAAAAGAGCAATAAATGGATACAAGATATTTGTCCATAAACTGTCAAATACATATGGTATACCGTAATGGAAGACTAAATGTCATACAAGATATTTACTTATAATAAAGAGTCAAATATGACACTTATGGTAAACCGTAATGGAAGACAAAATATCATATAAGATATTTGCCTATAATAAAGTGTCAGATATGATACTTATCATAAACTTTAATAGAATGCTAAATATCATACAAGATATTTGTCCATAGTAAAGGCTCAATTATGATACCTACCGTAACATGTAATGGAAGGCTAAATATCATACAAGATATTTACCTATAATAAAGAGTCAAATATGATACCTACAGTAAATCGTAATAGAAGACTAAATATCATACAAGATATTTGCCTATAATAAAGGGTCAAATAAATATGATACCTTCGGTAAACCGTCATAGAAGACTAAATATCATAGAAGATATTTGCCTATAATAAAAGGTCAAATATGATACCTATGATAAACCGTAATGAAAAGCTAAATATCATACAAGATATTTGCCTATAATAAAGGGTCAAATATGATCAGATACATATGGTAAACTGTAATAGAAGGTTAAATATCCTTAACAAAGACCTAAAGTTTCAAAGGTTCGGTCATGGTCCTTCTATAAAGACTTAAAAGAGTCGAGTAAAGTACCTAAAAGCACAACAATTCATAGAGCTTATTTGTTTTCTCGAAACTCAGGAGTTTTCAAGGTTTTGGAAGATTGAGATGTGAACTTTTCTACAAAAAGTTCTTTAACAATGCTTATTTGTTTATACATACATAAACTTGGCGTATATCATGGAAGATTTTGAAAGCATAATTCCATCCAACCTTACAAAACTTACCTAAACCCATCCCTTGCCTCCTATGAACCACTAATCTGTAGCTAATATATATAAACAAGGTTCTAAATCCCATTTTCTCATGCTTACAAACTTCATATTTGTACCCATAAGAAAACAAAAATGCATAGGAAGCGAGACGCTACCTCAATCGTTTCAGATCATCGCCATGCCCATTTGAAAATTCTACTCTTGTCTACTCGAACGTAAAACGCGCTAATGCTGAACTACGACCACCTCGTCGAAATTCCAGTCTTGTACTAGGTCCCTTCTTACGGCTCGGCTTCGAACCAACCTGGGTGTACCGTCCATTACGTTGCTGTTGGAAATGGTTGGTTGGGGAGTTACCTTGGCTGATGCTACATATGATGGGTGGTGGTGGTGGTGGTGGTGGTGGTGTGTTGGGGGAAAAGATGGTCTCCATATTAAGCAGTTGGCTATTGCAGAGCATCTTCCCTCGTTGTCTGAACTCGAAACCGAATAGCTCCTAAGGGAGTGTGAAGGGCTATCGACACTGTTGCATACGAGACATGCCAAACTCATGTTTATACACGTCGAGCTATCTCTGCAATTCTTTGTCAGAGGAACAAAATAGAGAATGTCAGAACTTCGAAATGTACATCAGCGGAGACACTGGAATCGATCTTGCAAGTTTATTCCGACCAAAAAAGTACACCGTAAACGAAACTCACTATTATTCTATATATGCAAGAAGATTGTGTGATAGGAGGAACAAGGTATGTTGATATATGTCAAGTGTCATATATTAGCAGAACTTGAACCCCTCAGACAACTTTCACTTCAACAAGAAGGCATATAAAAATGCATAACAACTAGTGTTTCTAATGGAGGAAATTATTACATCCTACTGTCTGATAATAGTAGACTAATGGAGTAGCTAGCTTATGAAAATTATTACATCTTACTGTTCGATAATTTGGGAAAACTCGTGTGAGATTTACATCGGTTGGAGAGGCAAATGAACCATTCTTTATAAGGATGTGGAAATCTCTCCCTAGCAGACACGTTTTAGAAACCTTGAGGGGAAGCCCGAACGGGAAAACTCAAAGAGGACAATATCTGCTAACGGTGGACTTGGGCTGTTACAATTCGTGTCTCTAATTCAGTAGCTAGCTTACGAAAATTATTACATCTTACTATTCGATAATTTGGATAAACTCGTGTGAGATCCACATCAGTTGGAGGAGAAAACGAAGCATTCTTTATAAGGGTGTGTAAACCGCTCCCTAGCAGACACGTTTTAGAAACCTTGAGGGGAAGCCCGAAAGGGAAAATCCAAAGAGAATAATATTAGCGAGCGGTGGACTTGGGATGTTACAACTCGTGTCTCTAATTGAATAGCTAGCTTATGAAAATTATTACATCTTTCTATTCGATAATTCGGGGAAACTTGTGTTAGATCCACATTAGTTGGAGAGGGAAACAAACCATTCTTTATAAGAGTGTGGAAACCTCTCCCTAACATACGCGTTTTAAAAACCTCGAGGGGAAGCCCGAAAGGGAAAGCCAAAAGAGGACAATATTTGCTAGCGGTGGACTTGGGCCGTTACAACTCATGTCTCCAATTAAGTAGCTAGCTTATGCAAACTAATACATCTTACTGTAAAAATAATTCGGGAAAACTCGTGTGAGATCCACGTTGGTTCGAGGGAGAAGCGAACCATTCTTTATAAGGGTGTGGAAACCTCTCCCTAACAGACGCATTTTAAAAACCTTGAGGGGAAGCTTCAAAGGAAAAATCCAAAGAGAACAATATTTGCTAACGGTGGTCTTGGGCTGTTACAACTCGTGTCTCTAATTGAATAGCTAGCTTATGAAAATTATTACACTTACTATTCGATAATACGGGAAAACTCGTGTGAGATTCACATCAGTTGGAGAGGGAAACAAACTATTGTTTATAAGGGTGTGGAAACTTCTCCCTAATAGACGCGTTTTAAAAACCTTGAGGGAAAGCCCAAAGAGAACAATATCTGCTAGCAGTGGACTTGGACCGTTACAACTCACGTCTCTAATTGAGTAGCTAGCTTATGAAAACCTCATTGGATGACATGGACAACTATGGCATTAGGACATGCTATATATATATAGATATCTAAGTAGGTCAACTAACAGCCAAGAATCAAACCCATAAGCTGTAAAATATCAAAGTTTCTAATAGTTAGTTCTTCTTGTGGCAAATACACATAAATTCCTAGAAGCTCAATATATGAAAGAGAAAATATTAGAAAATGTAGCTAGTAGCAAAACAGAACATATATTATGCAGAATAGTAGGCAAAACAGAATATATATTACGCAGAAAACCGGGAAAGCAAAACCATATTTGTAACGGCCCAAGCCCACCGCTAGCAGATATTGTCCTTTTTGGACTTTCCCTTTTGGGCTTAACCTCAAGGTTTTTAGAACGCATCTGTTAGGGGAGATTTCCACACTCTTATAAAGGGTGTTTCGTTCTCCTCCCCAACTGATGTGGGATATCACAATCCACCCACTTCAGGGTCTAGCGTCTTCGTTGGCACTCGTTCCTTTCTCCAATCGATGTGGGACCCCCACCAAATCTACCTCCCTTCGGGGCTCAGAGTCCTTGCTGGCACACCGCCTCGTGTCTACCCCCTTCGGGGAACAACCTCCTCGCTGACACATCATCCGGTGTCTGGCTATGATACCATTTGTAACAGCCCAAGCCCACCGCTAGCAGATATTGTTCTCTTTGGGCTTTCCCTTTCGGGCTTACCCTCAAGGTTTTTAAAACGTGTCTGCTAGGAAGGTTTCCAAACCCTTATAAAAGGTGTTTTGTTCTCCTCCCCAACCGATGTGGGATATCATACTATTGCACACTCAAGATCACACTTATAGCTTGACATCACAGAGCTCAAAATGTTAAAACAGAGAGATTAACCAGAGTTGAGGGAAAAATAAGAACATTTCATGATTGCTAAAGATCAGCTAACTAGATTTTTAACTCCACAGTAATCAAAAAGTACTTGAGCCAGTACTTTTGTTTAACTGATGTGAATTCATTTCTTAACACAACTATATTGTTAAATGATGAAATATATTAAAACATGATTACAACTTCGAATTTTTCGATCCCACGTGAACCAAGAAAATTCGATGTAAAATAGGCTATGTTCATGGGCATTACTTGAATTACATGTTATGAGCGATAATGTAGTGTTTTGAGCTCAAAACTAACCAAAAACATCCAATGAGCACCCAATCATTATACATGCTGGTTCATCAACTAATCCTTACTCATGTCATTGAGTCATTGTATACTCTTCAATTCTACAACGTTCGCTCGTTAGACGGGTGAGTTTTCTTGATGTCTATCAATATACATTGTTCGAGTTCATGGCATGCTTGGAAACTAGATACATGCTTTGATATAGCATAGGAACTTAAAGAAACAAACAAAAACAAAAAAACTCCACCATTTTCAAAGTTTATTAACCATTTGCTTAAAAACTCCACCATTTTCAGATACGACAACTTGGGGCGTGAGATTCGAACCTCTAACCATTTGGTCGTGTATATCTTATGTCAGTTGAGCTATCTTGGCTTTCGTTTTTCATTAATCATTTAATAAAAATTCACCACATGAGACCAACTGACCAAGCAAATATACGCATGCATGTGAAACAGTAACCCATTATCCACAGTAGAAGTCCACAGACCAAGTGAATTGACAACAGATGTGTGTGTCAGTTCTACATTTGGTCTGTGTGTCAGTTCTACATTTGGTGATCAAATAGTTTATGTTTAAGAAAATGGGATAAAGAATCAGAAAGAACTAATATGGCTATCACCCACTCAACCCATTCCCCTAAAACCTGTAACTATGATTACCGTATTGTAATGGCTCAAGCCCACCGCTAGCAAATATTGTCCTCTTTGGACTTTTCCTTTTGAGCTTCCCCTCAAAGTTTTTAAAATGGGTCTAATACGAAGAGGTTTCCACACGCTTATAAAGAGTGTTTCGTTCTCCTCCCCAACTGATGTGGGATATCACAATCCATCCCTCTTCGGGACCCAGCGTCCTCACTAGCACTCATTCCTTTCTCCAATCGATGTGGGACCCCCACCAAATCCACCTCCTATGCCCAGTGTCCTTGCTGGCACACCGTTTCGTGTCTACCCCCTTCGGGGCTCAGCCTTCTCTCTGGTACATCGCCCGGTGTCTGGTTCTAATATCAACACCAATGTGAGATATCACAATCGACCCCCTTTGGGATCTAGCGTCCTTGCTGGCACTCATTCCTTTCTCCAATCGATGTGAGACCCCCACCAAATCCACCCCCTTTGGTGCCTAGTGTCCTTGTTGGCACACCACCTCGTCTACCCCTTCGAGGATCAGCCTCCTCGCTGGCACATCATCCGGTGTCTGGTTCTAATACCAACTGTAACGTCCCAAGCCCACCGCTAGCCGATATTATCCTCTTTAGGTTTTTCCTATCAGGCTTCCCCTCAAGGTTTTTAAAACGCGTAGGCTAGGGAGAGGTTTCCACACTCTTATAAAGGGTATTTCGTTCTCCTCCCCATCAATGTGGGATACCACGAGAAGCCATTTGATAAGCTAATCTGTTAAGCAATAAAACCAAGGGTTCCAAAATCAAACAATTCTCACAAATTTCCCAAACCAGAGTTACTCCAACATTTCAAATCAACGCAGAATCGAACAGAAATTCTTCATAAAGAAACGAGAGAAGAACACGAATCAAACTCCAAACAAAAACCCGCCGTAAACAAAACCCAAAAGAGACAAATAGAAGACAATCACACAATTAGATTCGAAAAAAGAAAGCAAATCATAAACGAAACAAGCAGAAACAGATGAATCGAAACAAAAGAACATCAAATCCACGAAGAAACTTAGGAAGAAAACAAAATCAGAAGAACAAAAAAGGGAAATGAGGTAATAATTGAGAGGGCCCAAAACGTAAAAAGGAGGTAAGATCTGAGAGATAACCTGAAATTCCCCTTGGTGGCGAAAGGGGAAGCTTAAGATTCACGAAGAGCTGAAGAAAAGAGAGGGATCTGTGTTGAAGTGAGACCCTGGGAGTGGACTTTATTATATTACTCGATATTGTAAACACAAAATCCCACACATAAATTTCAATATCTTAGAATTTATCTATATGTATTATCTTTTATATCTATATATATATATATATATATATATATATATATATATATATATACATATATTTCTAACCGTAAAAAAACTCATGGTTTTCGGGTCGTGGAAGAGGCCGTTACAGTAAGTCGATTTTCAAATTTCTCTTTTTACCTTAATTCATTATGATTTCGTTACAATTATCAAAATTTCAGAAATTTTTCACGAATTCGTCGTCAAAGGGGATTGAGAATCAATCAAAAGTGGCCAAAAGTTGACACAACGAGAAGGAAATCGCATAGGAAAAAGGGGGCAAAGTAAGGTAAAAACTAGGTTCAGATCAAGATATCAAGCTTGAAATCCGAACATGAGTTTGAACTTCAGTCTCAATGGATAAATATCTCGAACGACATACTCGAGTCTAAA